GAAAGCGTGGCGAGGGAAAATATGGCAGCAACTAAGCAGAGCCAGTAAGAAGAGCCAAGCTGAAATCTAGGATATTATTGAAAAGAGATGAGGAAGTTGAAAAAGCACAACGTACATAGATATCCACTCCAGCATCCCTGATGAAGCCTGAAAGTGGAAATTAAAGTTAGATCACATGTGGCAAAACAGCAAAATATAAGAAGCGCCCAGAATCATACAATATAGTAGTGAGGGTTAAATTCTGCTCACCAGTATTTCTGTCATATGTTGCTCCATAAGCGATAAGGACGTAAAGAAGTAAAATCACTACTGCAGATTGCTTGCCCATGAACCCTCTTGAAAGATGAAATCGCCATCGCGGAACGACCCTGAATATTACTGAATGAATCACTTCTCTTTGCAAATGCTGAAGAGGCCATTTCAGCTGAGTTTTACAGTTGTAGAGATGTTGCTGCATGCGTCATATCTGGACGCTCATGCTGTTTGGAGCATTCAAAACGTAGATGCGATGTTAATAAATGCTGACGAGTTTGACTTACAGGGCTAGTATAGCTGCCAGTACTACGAAAAACTGCAATATCCAGGCAAATAACAAAGCCAGAAAGGTTGAAATGGCCCAGCCGTCTGCGTTCTGAAAATGTACTGAGAGATTCCTCTGTAGCTGTGAGACTGCTTTGAAAAATATACTCACATCCCAAAAGATACCACATGTGTTCTTGGAAACACATCCCCAAGGGAATATTCCCGCAGAAGCTTTAAGGAGCATAAAAGATACGGTCACCCATTCTGCAATGTATAACAAAGTATGAAAGAAGGAAAGTGGATGGAAAAAATTAGCCAAAGGAAAAGGGTTTAAAACGTAATTACAGTCTACATTTCGCTTGACTATTACCAACCTTGTGTAAACATCGACACATTAATGAAAATATAGGTGACTACAGCGGAGATGCCTGTTGCGATCAAAAACTTCATCGTTTCGAGGAAGAAAAACTCCGCGCCAACATTGGCATGCTTATCGTTTTTATAAGCGTAGAGGTTGGCAAAATGACGCGAATCTTTTCAATCAGTGTTTACCTTACCGCTTATCTTATGACTCACGGTGAGATCAAAATGCAGATGACATTCTTGAATCAGTTTTGAAATAAGCTCAATTCACAGTTTGTAAAAACTAAATAAACATCTAAAATACTTGACAGGATTTTTTTTCGCGAGTGAAGCCTTCAAAAAGCAAAACTCCTGACAAATAATACACGAACAGATGTGGAGGTTCAAAGAAAGTGGGAAAGTTTAGCTTCCTTTCCTTCACCTATTAGAAAAAGGTCTTACTTCTACTAAAAGAAATAAGAAAGCTAGGAAGCAACAATCACAACTACAGCTTTTACAATCTAAAGTTGGAGTTATGCATTCTTAGACAACTTCTCATCTAGAAAATATTCTGGAAACTGAGAATTTGGAACAGGTGTTCTACATATGCAGTCGGTTGCCCCTACAAATGCTGCCAATGATAGAGGATAAGAATTTTAGCTTTTCTATCGAAAATCATGCATCTTATAATGCCTTATCCAAAACACATAGTATCATAATATTGCTTTGAGGCGCTTTGCACCTTGTATTTCCTTACCTTGCCTACATTTGGGGGTGCTCAAAGTGATAAATACTTTAAAAAATACTAACTCTATATATTTATAATGGAAGAAGAATGCCTGCGCGGATAACTTCACAAAATGAGTGGAATTATGATGTATGTCACAACACGTGCTACAAGCCAAACTCAAACTATCGAAAAGGAGTACCAAATTATAATAGAAATAATTAAATGCGACCAATTGTTTA